ACTGCCGCGGCGTGCGGGCAGCGCGGTCATGACCGGCCCCTTGCCGGCCGTCCGGCAACACCTCTCGACCAATTCAACTTAAAATAACATGAAATAATTTGAAAAGATCAAGTTTACTGAAAATACTCAAAATCCAGAATTTTTGCACCTGAAGCTATACACGGCCGTGGCGTGCGCACCGTGCGCCGCCTACGGCGTTAAGCCGTCTCACGACCAAACATGCTTTTCTCTCGGCAGTTAATACACAACCGAACATGAAATACTGATGACTGAATAATTTGACATGAAGTGCTCGAAAGATTACCACTTAACACAATCGACAACCATGCTCGGCCCGAGGTGCGCGCTACGTGTGCGACCACGCCCTTTGGTCGAATCACCGAACAAACATAAAAATACTTTGAATAATGTAAGCTGACTGAACATGATAAATCATGAAATAGCTAAATACATGACATTAGCACGAGAGATTTCGAACCAAAAATAACATGCTCGACATGGCTACACGCACGGCCGATTACAACTTTTAAGCTAACTCACGAGCATGACCGAAAAAAATAACTTGAATATGATCTTACTATCTTGAAAAAATAATAAAACTGAAGCTACCTCTTCGAACACCTGACTGATCGCACCAACTGTTCGGGATCACTCAGAGCTCGCGTCTCCGTGCGTGCGGCGTGCAATACTCTCGTGCGTTACTATGCAACTTGCGTCTAGGCTATGCGTGTGATGATCTCTCTATTTAGGTACTCTCTAAACTCACAATATACCGACATGAACTTAGGGAGAAAATGATGAAGTTTTTCCAAGTCTCCCCCACTTAAATATCATGACCGATTATGGCTAATGAAGGGATGATGCTATGTTGTTGGTTGCATAATATTGTGCCATTTGGAACTTAAAGAGGCCTTGACATGCTTAGTCATAAGCTAAAAAAGATTAGTCACGCTTAAACACCTAAAAATGTGACACCTCATGCCACTTATTGGAGACAATTCTCCCTCTCGAATTGCTCACGACAATTTTGAATTTGACTCAAAATTGTTACAGAAATTAATTAGGGAAAACTTGCTTAGTCTTAATTAAGCATAATTAAATGCTTAATTATTAAATTAGACATGATACTTAATTACCAAAATTATTCCGAACGTAAATGGGACGTCGAAAATAATTTCGGGTGATCTCGACTGAAATAATTAATTCTGAAAAATAATACTCGACAATATTATTATATCGGAACTAGATACATGATTTATATTATTAAATTGACGGGATATTACACGTTGTATGTCAACCTGTGATACCTGCAACTGCTTACCTTCCCTGAGGTCAAACTTAACCTCAAGAAAAGTCTATCATGAATTAATATCTCCTACGATTTCTCAAATTTTCAAAATTTGAGAATCGAGGCACTGATTATACTTGAATTGATTGATAAATCTTATCTTATTACACAGACTATCCTCGATCTTGACATGACTAGCCTGAATATTCACATAACTGAATAATCATGACTTGACTTTTACATGGCTGAATAGCCCTCATTTGAATTCTGGAAGTTATCCCGAGACATTTAAATGTTCGTCTCGGAATTTGGAACATAACATTTACTGACTTACTT